AAAAGGGAAGATTGAGTGAAAGGATCACTAAATTTCTTATAACACAGGTTTGGGATTAATTGCCACGTTAATTTAGTAATAATTTCACACAGATTTTTTATGATTGTATTTACTAATACGATATAACTGTTTTATTGATTTTTATTATGAAAATATTTAATAGTAATTCATTGTTATTTTTTTTTCAGATTTTAATAGCACTAAAGCATTTACACAGCAAAAACATTGTGCATTGCGATTTGAAACCAGAAAACGTACTCTTGTCATCGGATAGCGATTTTCCTCAAGTGAAGTTATGTGATTTTGGTTTTGCCAGAATTATTGGTGAAAAGTCATTCCGCAGATCAGTAGTTGGTACGCCAGCTTATTTAGGTAAGAAAATGTACAGAATCAAATTATTTTGTATCTTAACTAAATTTTAATTCCAACTATAAAAATAAACATTTTACTGATGAATTTGGTTTAATATGGATAACAAAATCGGAGCAAATTGTGTTTACAATAATAACTTCAGGGCTAAAGCCTGAATATTCTAAAATTGATCATAAGGAACAATTATAATGATAATATTTATTCTTATACTTTTATTAATGTCGATTCGCAGTAATTTTTTAAATATAGAAATTTCAATAAACAATTAAAGTGTATATCTAGAATAGTCTATTTTTTATGTTTTAGAAAATAGAATTGCATTGATATTACTATAAATTAATAACTTGACTTGCTTTCTTATTTCCAAAAAGCGCCTGAGGTTTTGAGAAACAAAGGGTATAACAGATCTCTTGATATGTGGAGCGTTGGTGTGATAATTTATGTGAGTTTAAGTGGTACTTTTCCTTTCAATGAAGATGAAGATATAAATGAACAAATACAAAATGCTGCCTTTATGTACCCACCTAATCCTTGGAAAGAAATTTCTTCAGAAGGTAAATTTAATCCTTGGAAGGATTTTTGGAAATAAAAATTTTTGTTATATGATATATTATTTATCATCTTAAGTAAGACTTTTTCATCTCATTTTAATTTGTTCACTGTTTGTTTTATCATTATTCATAAAACAGTCTAAATATTTGTATTTAAATTTGTTATTATT